TTTTCGACTAAGCCAACCGTAGGTAACACGAAGTTTTGGATTGTGGAGCGACTGACTCGCCGTAACGCCCGATTTCAGTATTGAAAATAATTTCTCGGGTGCCACTTCTGGCAGTTGGATGCCGAAATTTTAGCGACCACCTTGTAAATATTTGTGATTATAACAATGACTTGAGGTTACACATATACCAGCCAAGATAAACAACAAATTCACAAATATTGTACATTAGTGAATCTTTGGTTAATAAAAGTACACAATTACAATCCATTTGATTTTAATATTATCTAATCGTGTAACATGTTTCTAGACTGCGCAATGTATCATCTCTGTCATTGTATGCTAATGTGTAAATATATATATATGCCACCTTTATTTGCATTAGATGTAGGCTGTCGAGATTTCTTTCACTTGCGGGGATATGTATAAATCTAGAGAAATCTTTATCTAATTTATTGACTTTTACATATCGCTAAAATAGAATCATTAAATTAAAGCTTTATAAGTTACCGTGCATAGAGCTCTTAATATTTATAAATTACATATAATCATACTATTAAAAAATTTAAATAAACAGATAATAAAATGAGTGAAGATATAAGAAACATATTATTAATTGGTCGTACAGGCCAAGGTAAATCATCTTTAGCCAATACAATAGTAAATGATGAGAAAAGTTTTGATAATGGGAATGAATTCAACGAAATTTTTAAAGAGAGTGATAAAACTCTTAGTCAAACTAAAAAAATTCAAGAAGAAATCTTTACTATAGAACGAAAAATAAAAGGAAAGATGGAGAATCTGAAATATCGAATCATTGACACTGTTGGAATTGGAGACACATCGTTGAGTCAAAGAGCAGTTCTAGTTGAGATAGCTAAAGGGTGCAAAAAGGTTAAGAAAGGAATAAATCAAATTCTATTTGTATGTGGAGAAAGATTAACACCAGAAGAAATTTTAGCTTATGATATATTGAGAAATATTCTTTTTGACCAAATGATTGATAAAGACATTACTAAATATACTACTATTGTTCGAACGAAATTTTACAATTTTGAAAATGAAGAGGAATGTGAAAATGACGTTCAATCCTTGCTTAAAGAAAGTAATAGAGTAATTGTCGAGGTGATTGAATCATGCGATAAAAGGATTGTTCATGTGGATGTCCCACCAATAAATATAAAAGGGGAAGGAAAACAAAATCAAATTAATACTAATAAAGAAATTCGTAAGGAAGCTAGAAAGAAGTTATTGAACCATTTAGCAACATGTCGAGATGTTTATATACCAGAAAGTTTAAATAGGATAAGCAAGAGAATTGATGATTTATTAATAAATGAAAATGAAAAATTAAAAAAACAACTAGAAACATCGCAAAAAAAGCTTGAAAAATTGCAAGAACAACTAAATAATGCAATGAAGAGAGACGAAAGATTATTATCAGAAGCGTCAGAAGAAGCGAAAGGATCATTTCAAGAACAAATAAATAAAGTATTAAGGAGATTATCATTGAAAGAAAAAAGAGAAACAGATGAACTAAGAAGGAAAATGGATGATCTAAGAAAGGGAATGGATGAAATAAGGAGAAAAATAGATGATAATGAGAGATCCATAGAAACTGGCCTTTTTGAGGCCATTGGCAGAGGTTTGGATAAACTGGTAGAATTATCATCAGCATTGGTAGGAATACAATATGATATTAGTAATTGTCAAATTTTGTAATTAGCAATATCAACAACAATTATTTATTTGCAGAACTATAATCTGCAGTATCTTCTATATAGCATATTTTAACATATTATTGTAGAATACTGATACCGATATGTATAATAAAATTTACTATAAATAGAGCATTTATCTTGGCTAATAACACAATGTTTGTTAAGTCATTTCTAAATCTACCTTTTTTACTGCGAAACATAATTTACTATAATAAAAATTGAAAAAAAAACTTTTATTGTCATGTAATTGGACCTAAAAAGTATAACCAAGAAGTTTTGTGTAATATATAGTTTTTCTAAATTGATATTTGATACTAAATTAAACTTGCATTTATAACATCTGCTGTGTAATTAAGAGATCCATTCAAACCCGGTTAACGATTATAATGACATAATGTTTTAACATTACTATGTTTTGGGGTTTTCACATGACAAAACTGATATTGTACGTTTAAACTGTTAAAACAAAAGCGATACTACTAGTTAAAAATGTTGGTTAAAATTACTGCTACGAATTATGTATCAAATTGTGTAAGAGTCAACTATATTTACACATTTACGTATTAAATTAAACTTCGTTATTATCAAATTACGATATATATTAAATTACGCTATTATCAAATTACGGCATATATTAAATTAAACTTTGCAATTATTAAATTACGTAAGACAAGTAAGTATAAGAAGCTAACTCCAAAACAAAAAACTAACAAGTCAATAACTCTTATTTCAATATGTCAAGTAATATTGATAATAATTTAATTGCTATTAGCGATTGTTCAGTTTCAATTAATCAAAAATCTAATTCTGGTCGACCTTGAGGAAAAATATGGAATATTATACTGTCGAACAAAAAATAGGAATTACTATTCTATTCAATGCACTATTATTCTAAGCATTGAAAAAGAGGAATACCAATCATCAAGGAATCACATTCAGCTAATGAATGTTTTAGTTGTTCACAAGATATACAAAAATATTGAAAAAATAAAATTGAAGAATTTCAAATAATGTGGAAGACTGGGTTAATGATGATCAGGTCCAATGTACTGGGAAGATTACAGCATCTTTTGCAGCTATGTGAGTCAAGTTTAAAATGATGAGTGATCTTGCAGAAACATCTTATAACACTTTAGATTCTAACTCTTCACTTAATTCCAAGAATCTCTCTTGCTATAATATCTTCTTAATTAATCATAATCTTCTAATCTTATCACCTAAACAAATATTACTATCATTTATTCAATATTTAAAAAATAATTCCTTTAATAATCCTTTTAAAATCTCTATTAATAATATAATTACTGAAATACATATTTATAAAAATCTAAAATATAAATTTCTCAACACTCTCCCTGCTGATCACTCGTATACAAAACTGTAGAAAATACTTTAGAAGTTTGCTAAAAAATGGCTGTCAAAACCAACCTTACAGGCTTAAGAAAAAAGATAGAGCTTGTA